GGGGGATGCAGAGCCTGATCAGCTCTGCGTACCTGCAAAGCAACTGTTGTTCACGCTGTCTACTTTCGTGGTTTGCTTCCATGGTCGTTCTCATGATAGCTCCCAAAACAGGATTCCCTCGCTACGTATTCAGTAACTGCAGCCCGCAGTCATGCAGCAAACATTTTTTCAAACATCTTCAAGTGCTTGGACGATTCACCTTTCCGTTGGGCCATTCCTTTACTCGTGGGAACTGAGTTAACTGAAAACCAACTGTCAAAGTGTATGTGAAAGGTGACAACCAAAGGAAGACACAGTTTCCTCGCACAGTTTTTGCTTCGCTTGGTGATGCACTAGCAGTAGAAACTGCCCTTTCTTTGCAACACAGCCAGGACTCGTCCATGAGGCACAGCCTAGGTGCCCCTCCCTGCCCTTCGAAGGGCGCAAGGACCTGCTCGGAAGGCCTCACAACACGGGTGTTCCGTGCGGCTAAGGATGTATCAACCTCCTTCAGCCGGCAGACCACCTGGGAAGGCATCGACACGGCCTCAGCGGCCTTCAGCCGGGGCACTTCTTCCTCCAGCCAATCTTGGGAACCTATGTGCCAGAAGCTCCCCGAACTCGGAAGCGACTTGGCTGGAATGGTTGAGATGTTCAGGGAGTCTGGTAGAGCTCCGCCAAGAACATTCTTCGGGCTTGTTGATGGGGTACTGTGACCCCTCAGCATGATTCAGTAGTCCTTTCCACTTTGTGCATTAGATTCACTTGGCTGCGAGGTTTGTTTGTTTTGGGCCATGCTTTAAAATCAGATAGAAAACATCAGCGGATGTGCATCATTTGACGCATGTCAAAGTCCGGGACATTGGTCACGACAAGTCACGGTTGAGGTGAATGGCAAGTGCAGGTGAAGAATACCTTCATTGAAGCCAGCGACAGCGATGAGAGCGATATTGAGGACCAAGGTGTCCTGCGCCGCACTCACTCAGTGCCCCTTTTCTAAGATGTACAGAAGCAATCCCTTGGCCCTTTGGCATGCGCCTCAAATGCCCTCGGTCCATGTCAGAATCTTTGGTCCGTTGCGTCCAAAGTCTGAGGGTCGGGAGTTTTTTTTCAATGTCTGCAGTCCGAATTCAATTTAAGGCAGCGTATGCCTGGCTGCCCGATGAGTGGCTACGGCTTACTGCGCCATTTTGTGCTTCTGTTCCAGGAGAGCCGATTGGCCGCCCATACCCCAAAGCATCTTGGACGGTCCCATGGGTTCATGTTTGTTTTTTGAACGATCGCCCATCTTTTTGTGGTGATTGGAAGACATGGGGAGTGGGCTGGTTGTTGAGCCGGGCTAAGTCTCGAGCATTGCGTAGACGGCTTGAAGATATTTTTAGAACTGATGTACAGCTGCAAAGTCGCCGAGATACGTGACTCAAGCAGACCCAGAGACCACCAAGCTCCACCAGCTGTGCTTGCCACGAAGGGCAGCACTGGCTGGACAGGACTCGCAAGCAGAAAGTAGTGGCTGTTTGATGCGCTCAATACAGCGGTGTTGGATGGAGTTCGTTGAATACCCCCCATTTCTGTGACAGGCCTTTCGACTGCATTGTTGGACAAACTCTTTTCTCAAGGTGCTGATGTTGGCTCCGCTGAAGGCTCAAACTCAGAGCTGTGTAGGAATCCCAAGTTTGGCGTGAAGTCAAGTTGTCGCAGCACATATTTGAACCATGGCTGCTGTCGTGAACTATGAGAAGGACATGAAGCGACTTCAGGTGCACAAACAGACCCGTCTATGCAGATTCTTTGTGGTGGGCGCCTGCACACGTGGCGAGGCTTGTACCTTCGCACATGGGCAAGACAAGCTGCGGCAACAGCCAGACTTCTCCAAGACAAGGTTGTGCGCAGACTTTATGGAACGTGGAAGCTGTGCAGAAGGAGATCGATGCTCGGCCTTCATCATGTGTGGACAAGTTTACATTGGGAATGTTCACGGGTGTTTTGTTCTGGGTTCTGGAACCTCAACCATCGAAGTGACCAGAGGACGAGCCTTCGATTCACAATACCCAGAGAGTGGTGAAGCACCAACTAACCCAAGAGCGACGGCCTCCAACCTAGTAGCGTTTTTTGAAGGGGTGCATTCTGTGGAGCGATAGGGGATTGTGGGTACGATGGCCAGCTCTTTGGGCTCTCACCACCTGCGACTCTTGGCACTCCCTGAAATAATCATGGAAGTGGAAAACCACCTGTTTGTAGAGGAAAATGGTCATCCAATGGGCAATGTTCCACTTTATTTATATTTCAGAGTGTGTAACTCCCATCTCATTTAATCTGGCTGTTGATTTTCGCTGGCATGTTTCTCGTGGGGATCTCTCCTGGCAGCACCACTGGCTAAAAAAATTGTTGATGCGTCAGTATTCCTACTTTCCCAATGTCACCCAAGTTCATCTAACCCCACCACATCTTACAAAATGTTTCCTCCGGTGCTACTGTGCTTCCTGAATAAGCACCTTCACAGCCAAGGATGCAAGTTCGCCCATGGCAAGAGTGAGCTTCGCCCAGGCTCAGCCGTAAAGCTTGGCCGATTATCCAAGAAGGAGATGCAAAACACTCGGGCCAAGAGTCATCAGGACCAGGCCTCCGTAGCCATGCAGGTGAAGAAGACCTTTCAGCTCCAACATTCCTTGCATTCGCAGGCCGCCATGAAGCTGATGATGAAATCCACCATCGATACCCAGCCCAACACCCTGCAGCAGGAACTGGAGATCGATCCAGAAAATTGCCTGTGGGAAGCTCGCCTATTTGTTCATTCAAAGCTGGCCTGTGCTTTTTTATTTTAACTCTACTCGAGCTGTGGCAGGATCACTGCCGAACCCATTCTCAACTGCCAGGTCTAATCACTAAAACGGCTTTGAGTTTATTGTTCAACGACAAGCACAATTTAACTTTTGGGAAACTTCACCACATGTCACCGCTTTGGCCCGGCAGACCTTGTGACCTTTAGTGTCCATTCCGTTTCTAGGTCAAAAAGAAGTGTTTACTGTAATTTTTAGATGTTTAAGGCTACTTGGTGTGGACATCGGCTTCCTTTAACCAATCCCCTGCCTGACCCTCACGAAGCTCGAGGAGAAAACAAGCTTCAGCCGACAGACGACCTGGGAAGGTATCGAGACCACTCCAGGGGGATTCAGCCGTGCCACTTCGCTGGGGAGCGAGATTGAAGTGATGGGCACCCCGAGCCGAACACGACAAGAACTTGGCCCCTTGGAAACCGATGTTCAGGCCCAAAAAACCTTGGATCCCATATGATCCCATCGTGAATTCGTGAGCGGATGAAACTGGTGAATGGAGTTTTACTTCACTTTTGCTCGTTGCTTAGATGTTTAGGGTTTTTTGTTGCCGCATTGTTGTCTACAACCTGCGCATGCAGGCGATGCTTGTTTGTGTCTTTCCAACTCCAAGGTGAATGGCAAGTCCAGGTGAAGAACACCTTCATTGAAGTCAGCGACAGCGATGGGAGTGAGACCGAGCAGGACCAAGGCGTCCTGCGCCGTGCACGCTCGATGCCGCTGTTCTAGATGGGCTCCCGGGATTTAGGAGATTAAGGGGTGGTGTCTTGTGGAGAGATGCGCGAAATGAAGTGAGATTGGTTTAAGGCAGCAATAGGCAGGCATGGGCCTTGGACCCAGAGCTTACTGCGCCAAACTCTTTTGCATCAAAGAAGCCCAACATCCCCTCTCAGCTGAGCAGGCGACCTTTGACAGCCAAACTTCAAATTCTTGCAAGTCATAGGGAAATGGCAGGATCATTGGATGCTCAATTCATGATGCTGGGTCATGTCAACTGAGAGCCTCAAGCTCAGTCTTAGATGACGACTTCTGAGGCGACTGAGGGGTATTTTAAGTTTAAGCTGGGCCAAAAAAACTTGCCAGAGGTGTGTTATGCACTGATTTTTCATAATGTACAGCTTGTATAGGTAGAGAGAGAGAGAGAAGCCGCATGACGAACATCGGCAAATCACACAGCTGAGTCCTGAAGAAAGGAATCAAAAATGATGCGCGTATGGTTTCCTGCTTTGCTTTGTTATTCTGCTGCTTTGCCTGGCCTTGCGCTTTGCTTGGCTTTGGCGCTTTGTTTGGCTTGGTGCCATTGATTCGCTGCTACTGGCTTGTTGTTGCTGCCTTTGTTTTTGGCTTTTGTTGTTCAAGGATTGATGTGATTGTTGTTGGTATTTCTCAGTTTGCTCCTGCACCTACACTTGTTCCTGCTTTGCTACTTTGCGGCCGCTTTGCTCCACTGAGGTGCTTCTGCCTGGTTGGCTGTTCCGATGTTGTTGCTGCTGCTTTGCTGCTACAACTCCTTTTTGTTATCACGAAAGCTAGCATCAGCTAGCTGGAGTTGCTCTTGCTTTAGCAAGTCAAGGGCTCGCAGCCTCGAGAATCATGAATCACGTGAAAACTTCACGTGTAGGGGGGGCCCCCCCCCCCCCCCCCCCCCCCGCGGGTTCAACTCCCCCCTGGGACGCTTCCGGTACGTGCTATAGTGCTATGTTTAGGTGGCAGGTGAAGTAGGCCACTGTTTGAGTTTGGAAGGGGGGGGCATGAAACATGAAATTTACGCGAGGGTTCAAGGCTTCAATGATGAGCATCACGGGAAGTCAGAAACCAGGCGTATCAGATACACATGCCTTTGAGCTTCCTTCGGCATCTCAGTGCATATGGCTGACACTTCACTCGACAAAGATGCTCAAACAAACATACATAAACCAGGTGTATCTGATACGCCTGGTTTGTGACTTCCCGTGATGCTCATGATGCTGGGTTGCTTTTCTTCAGTCCCTCATTACATATACATGACGATCCAACAGCAGATTCAACAAGCTCACATGTTCATGACATCGACATCGATAGAAGAAACCAAACAAATCATGCATGTTCACAACGTTTTACCTCATGAGCATTTGCCTCACTCCGCTTGATGTCCCACCAGTCCGGATGCACCCCTGCTAGCTTTCGTCACCTACCCTCGGCCTCAAGTTGTTCTTTACTGTTCCCCACATTCACTCGCTCGAACACCAGCGATTTTGTCACGCTACCTCCGCCCTAGATGACGGTGCATGTCCTAATCAATGATAAACGGCTCATCGAATGTTGATGTATTTTGGCAAAATGTTGCAAAAATTAAATCTTCATGTTTGTTGAAGTTCTGGGTCCATTTGGCTTGGGGTTGATGCGATATATAGATGTAACGCATGAGCAACCAAAATCAAGCAATTGCTATGCAGAATGCAGTAGCGGCAAGAATAGAAGTAGCGCCCAGTAGCGCCATCCTCCGCACTAGCTATATATACACTGGGCTGCCGAAAGTTGCGCTTCTTGACTTCTAAAATGGGACAAACCCTTTC